ATATCAGCTCCAGTTTGTTGCATATCCAGTGGAACTGATAGAAAATAAGTAACCCCTTTAATACTGGATGATCCCAAGGCCTTGTCATTAAGAATTATAATAACCACAAGGATGATTCCAGATGGTCTGTCTCCTTCTTGGCCTTGCCAAAGTCACCTATCTCTTCTTAAGCTAATATTTCATTCTCTCTCTGCACTTGCCCTGACTTCCTTCATGATACTCTAGCATAGAAACTTGTTAATTCCCTCCAAATAGTTATTATTTAGGTTGCTATTTTTAAAAATTATTTGTTTATGTGTTTCCTGAAATAGAGTGTCACTTGCAGGTGCTCAAAAATAATTGCTGAATATATAAATGAATGAAAGGAAGATATAAGAAAATCATAATAAATCATAAATTATCATATATATATATAACCATATATAACCATGTGTGTGTGTGTGTGTGTGTGTGTGTGTACACGAGGCTGTGCTATTTAGAGAGATCTAAGTGGGGATTACAGCTATTAGCAAATACAACCTAACATGAAATAGATAACATGAATAATTCTATAATTATTAAATGAATTACATTTGTAGTTAAAAACTTTCTGAAAAAGAAATATCCAAGTCCAGATGGTTTATCTTTCATATTTTACAAAATAATTAAAAAATTATCAAGTGTATACAGTGTTCTCCAGAAAATACAGGAGAGGGAACACAATGCAACTTTTTTACAAATTCAGCATTTACCTTACTACTGCAACCAGGTAAATATAGTATAAGAAAAGAAAACTTTAAATCAAGAACCCTCATGCCAATATTTTCTACAATATATTAGAATATTAAATCAAACAATATATAAAAGAATAATGCACCATGATAAAGTGTGCTTTATCCTAGGATCACAAGGTTGGTTTAATATTAAAAATTGGTTAATAATTTACCATATTAAGATACTAAAGAAGTAAAATCATATGATCAGATCAATTAATATAGAAAAATGTATTGGCTAATATAACATTTATTTCTGATAAAAACTCTTAGCAAGCTAGGTATAGAATGGAGTTTCTTCATTCAGATAAAGTAGATTTAAAATAAGATAGCTAATATTATGATCAGTGGTGCTATAAGATAAAATGCTTCTTCTCCTCCAGTTCAAAAATAAGAAAAAGATATGCATTTCATCAATTATATTCATCATCATATTGGAAGTGCAGTAAGGCAAGAAAAAGAAATAAAAATCATATAGATTGGAAAGGAAAAAATAAAACTCCTTGTTTTTATAAAACACGATTGTTGTCTACATAGAAAATCCCAAGGAAATGATAATAATAATAATAATAAAAAACTCCTCGAACAATAAATGATTTACCAAGAAAGCAGAATACAAATACAACGAAAACCAATTATTGGTTTATATATTAACATGGAACAATTAGAAACCAACCACATATAGAAACACAGTTTACAATAACTTCAAAAAATAAAATACTTAGGTATAAATCTAACAAAACCTGTATAAGACCTACATGTTGAAAATTATAAAACCCTAATGAAAGCAATCAGGGAATGCCAAGCAGAGAAATGTACTATGTTCATGATTTAGAAGACTCAATGTACTAAAATTATCTATCAGTTTTTCCCAAATAAGTTTATAGATTTAATGAAATCTCAATCAGAATCCCAGCTGTTATTTTTAGAGATATAGAACAAGATGATGCTAACATTTATATGGAAATACAATGGATTGAAAATAGCCAAACAATTCTGAAAAGGAAGCATAAAGTTCAAGAAATTAGTCTATCAGATTTCAACACTTACTATAAAACTACATCAATCAAGACACTATGGTTTTGACAAAGTGAGGTGGTACACATATAAATCAATAGAATAGAATAAATACTCTAGAAATGAAACCACATACATATGGTATATTTACTTTTTACAAAGGTACAGAGGCAATTTAATGGAAAGGGATGGGCTTTCTAACAAGTGATATAACAACTGAGCAATCATATGAAAAAAAATGAACTCTGACCTACACCTTCCATCTTTTGCAAAACTTAAAATGGCACACTTATCTCAATATCATACACAAAACTATAAATATTTTAAAGAAGAACGTAGTGAAAAATACTCATGATCTAAGGTTGGGCAAAAAATTCTTAAACATAGGAAATTCTTAAACAATAAGAAAATCCTTAAAAGAAAAAAAATGATATATTGGGCTTCATCAAGTTTAAAAACATGTGCTTGTTGAAAGGTACTCTTAAGAAAATGAAAAGATAAGCTACATATTGAGGAAAGTATTTCAAATTACACATTCAACAAAGGCCTTGAATTAAATGTGTGTGGAGTGAGCTCTCAAAACTTCACATGATGGAAACAAACAACCAAATTAAAAAATAGACAATGTTCTTAAACACATATTTCACCAAAAAGGATATGAATATGACAGATAATCACATGAAAGTATGGTTATCATCTTTTGCTATTAGGAAGATGCAAATTAAAAGCAAAGTCTGAGGAGATTTTAGAGTAACTGGAACTCTCATATATTTCTGGTGGTGATGCAGCAATGCTGAAAAATAGTTCAGCAGTTTCTTACATATTTACCATGTGTTTTAGTGATCCCACACCCTGGAGAAGAGAAAAATGTGTTGAAATAAAATTTGCACATGAATACTTATAGTAACTCTGTTTGTCAAAACTGAAATCAACTCAAATATCTTTTAATAGATGAATGAATGAGTAAACATGCTGTCATATATCCATTTGAGCATTAAAAATATGGGCACAAAAGTAGAATGAATCTCAGTTATTACAATGAGTGAAAAAAAGTCAGTCCATTTTCAGAAGGTTACACTCTGTATGGTTCCCTTTAGATGACATTTACAAAAAGATGTCATTATAGTGTTGGCTAGCAGATCAGTGTTTGCCAGGGCTCAGTGATGGAGAAGGTTGTAACTATGCAGAGATAGCATAAGAAAGTTTTGTGATGATAGAACAGTTCTATATCCTGATTTCAGTAGTGGTTATGTAATTCACACATGTGCATTAAAATTCATAGAACAGTACACCAAGAAATCAATATTCCTGTTATTTTAATATTAATAATAAAATAAAATTTTAAAATTGTGAATTATCTCTTTTGAGAATTGTTCAAAGGGATGTATAAATCCATTACTTTAGACAGCCTAGCTTTATACTCGGAATCAGGAATGAACATTGGAAAGAGTCTTCAGTGGGCATTCTTCTTATGTTTAGACCTTAGTTTCAGAAATAGTACAATGAACAGCTTCATAAAACTCATTAATGAGTTCGCACTCAATGTTTATTCTTTATTGATAAAATATATTGAAGCTACTGTATAACATATCATACCTCTGTGTAATGTAATTTTTTTAAGAGCCTACTAGCTTTGGCTGTCCAGTTTTCAAGTAGGCTCATAGTGCCCTACATGAGCAATCGAATATAATGAATTATTGGTGCATTGTTTCCAAGGCTAGGTCATAAAAGTGTTGCAACTTTCATCTTCTTACATAGTTTTTAATTACTCACTTTGGGGGAAGCAAGCTGTCCTACCATGAGGACACTCAGAGAGAGTTACTCATAGCAGCCAACTTGTCAGCACCAACTAGTCATTCATGCCATACACATGGCATCCATATGAACATGGTACTTTGGAACTGGATCCTCCAACCTCAGTCAAGTCATTGAATGATTGCAGACACAGCCAACATTTGACTGCAACCTCCTGAGAGGTCATGAGTGAAAGCTACCCTAAAAATGCACCCCCAAATTCCTGTTTCAAAAAATATAAAATATATTAAATGAGTACTGTTTTATTTAAGCCACTAAGTTGGAGGTATTACAATGCAATATGCATAAACATAGAAGTGATAATAATGAGAAATGTGAGGATACGAAGGCAAATTGATATTGAGAAGATGTTGCTAACATCAATAGATTGTAGATCTTTATCAGGATGAAACATTGCTGGGGTGGGAGGTGGTGAACAGAGAATAGAATGCTTAAAGTAGTTTCCAACAGTAGTGCATATATGAGAACTCACAAGCCAAGGGTATGTTTATAAGAATCCACGACTGAATTGGGGCAGAGGAACAGATCATTGGAGAACATAATGAAGAAGCCAATATGTTTGATGGAACATAAGTGTAGTTGAATCAGTTACTAATTATCATGCCTAAGTGCTTGTGTGTTAGTATTTCTGTTTGTTCTTTTGTTTGCTTAATTATTTATTTTTAAATGATATCTTTTCTTTCACTCAACTAGAAAGACTGTGCGGGGAATTTGAAGGTGATTATTAATGAAAGAAAGATAAATTTTGTAGGAGATAAATAATAGTATGAAATAAGAATACAAGTGGAGCAGTAATTTTTCACTGGTATTTGGATTACAGATATTTTGAAAAGGCTTTTATATGTCGAACTATTTGTGCAAGTTTAGAGATTCTACTTTGAAACACATCCTTAGAACCCTAGTCAAGGCCCTCAAGTAAGAGATACCAAAAAAATGGGAAGGGGGGTTATTAACCAGTTAGTATGATCAAAACAAAAGATGTTACTAAGTATATGTGAATGAACAAGATGTCAACATGTATTTCATTTTAGTAGGGCCTATAACAATAGCAGGGCTACGAAATCTATTATAGATGGTTTTCAGTAGTCAAAATAATAATAATAATGATAATCAATAACAATCCTAATGAATTTGAAGCTATAAGCTATAATGACATATTCAAAGACATTGTGAAGATAACTATACCATGGTGTTCATTGTGTCCTGTGTGAGAGAAAAGCAAACAGATTAGTGGCATGCAGGTTATAAAGCATCTATTATTTGGGTAAAATTTCAGCTAAGCCATGTATTTATGTTACTAACATGACAAATCATGAAGTCATCAGGATTGTGTGACTAGCTATGCAATTAATAAAATAATTTTAGCAAATTTTAATACAACACAAATGTTGCTTTTTTTAAAAAATGTTCAATTAGGTATTCAATTGACAGAAACACAGACTTGGAGAGATACTTCAATATTGATGCCAACAGTGGAGTTATTACAACTGCCAAATCTTTGGACCGAGAGACAAATGCTATACATAATATCACAGTCCTTGCAATGGAGAGCCGTAAGTCATGAAGTTTCAAACTGAATTAAGATAGAGGATAGTGAGAGTGGAAAACAGGTTGTTATGAGGTTGTAAACTCAGCTTGAATTACATTATTTGCTTATTTGGATTGAAAAAAAACTTGAATATCCCAAATTTCTAAACTTTGACATATATTTATAGTCACTGGCTTTATATACTAATATTTACAAAATTAATGAAAATAGATGTCTAAAAAATAATGGGCCTAGATTATCTTCAGAGGGCTTCTTGTTGTCTTCTGGTCATAATTCAGATATCTTGTTATGCTGATACGGAGTTGGTGAAATAGCTTAAAATAATTAGTTAATTGATCTCTAACCAAGATACCCAGATTTGAATATTCTGATATTTGAATATTCTGATATTCTTATCCCTGATAAGAAAACTGTTGAAAAAAATGCATAATTATGTGCATATGTTCATATTATATATTTAATGTATATGCATATATAATATTTTATATCTATTTATAATATAAATATATGTTCATCCATATAAATATGAGCTCAAGCATCAAAGAATATTGAAATTCATGGTTTACTATTTATTCTTCTTTCAACAATTTTCTTATCAGGGACTAAAAATTACACATATAAATACTACATATATATGTACTCATATATACACATATACATGCATGTGTATATATACACACAAATATATATATACATAAATATGTATACATATTTGGATCAGATTATTTGTAGCTTCCTTTAAAGAATACAGCATTAGATTCTAGATTACATTTTGGGGCTTGGTGATTTTATTATTAGAATTGTGCTTTAGAGAGGCATACATTTTTGGTTGATTCTAATTGTTTCTAATATATGTTTATGGATTAAAATGGAAGTGGAATAACAGCTTATCTATCAGAGCAAATGATAAGACATTTTCTTATTTATTAGAGAATCCATCTCAAGTAGGAAGAGGCTACGTGGCCATCACTATACTTGACATTAATGACAATGCCCCTGAATTTGCCATGGACTATGAGACCACTGTCTGTGAAAATGCCCAGCCAGGGCAGGTAAGAGTTTTCAAAACACCTTGCTTCTAGTTTGTGATTTCTTTACAAATATCCAGCAGCAGTTGCCTTTGAAATTCTTCCAGCTTTAATATAAAATATAATCAGCTTGTTTCAGCAAAGCCAACACTTTGATGTATAGCATGAACTAATATTAAAAGAACTTTCAAATTTTGGTTTAATTGGGGTGATGAAAATTCCTCGGGAAGAAAAGGTAAACATTGTAAAAATCCTGTTAAATGGCTAAGGGCTTAGAGTCCTTTAAGTAGAAATACAGCATATTAAGCTTGATTGGACTGTTTCTCACATTACAAGACAGGGTTTAAATGTCTTGAAGTTCTAAGAATTAAGCATAGTTCAATCTTGGTTTGTTCATCCATTGTTCATTGTCTTGTGATGTTTACTGGGATGTCTAATCAATTGGACCAGCTTATTTCTCAGGTTCACAAAAATAAATGCAAACATGAACTTTGAAAAGGGCAGGATCTGTTTTTCATAGCCCTTTTTTAGATTGGGTTCATATTAATACATCTGATCCTTTCCCTCAGCCCATTCAGGAAGATGGTATTTATTAGACACGAAAGATTGCACTGTCTTGCCGCAGAAAACAGCATAGCGCTCCAATAACAGGCTTTCACGTTTTTCGTTGTTCATCCCTAGGTCATTCAGAAAATCAGTGCAGTTGATAAAGATGAGCCATCCAATGGACACCAGTTTTACTTCAGCTTAACAACGGATGCATCAAATAATCACAACTTTTCATTGAAAGACAACAAAGGTAAGGTATTATTGTCTCTGGTGGAAGCAGCAGGTACAGACTCTCTAAGCAAGTACTTTTTCCTCCCTCAGGAATACTGATTATGGATTTTTTCTTAACAGCAAGGACATTAATTAAAGGGCAATGAGCCCCTCAAGTAATTTTTATCTATGGATTTGCTGTCATGAAGAAGAAGCAGCTATTTAAATCATGTTAGGTCTAAAGCCAAATAGGAGGGAAAGTTAAATCTCTCTCTCTTTTTTTGTTCCAGATACTTGCTTCCTTATTTGTGTAACAAGCTCATTATCTAAACAATCTAATATGTTGAGGGCCTGCTAAATGCCTAAATAAGTACTATGATACACTACATAGATACAACTTGAAACATTAAAAAAAAATGACTTCACACATTTTAACATAAATCAACTTTGACAATATTTTCAACAATCATATCTATTATTGTTTGTTTTTATATAAACATAAAAGTAACCCATGCAAATAAGAATAATAAAATGATGATCTATTCTTGATGCTAAGAAATATAAAATAAAAAATAACTCTCCCATATGCCTAATCACATTTTCTTGCTGCCAAAGTAGATACTCTTAGCAGTTTCCTAAGTGTCATTATAGAAATATTTTTACAAATACCTATAAGTACATTCTGGTTTTGTTTAATAATATATATTGAAAATTATAAGAACTTTTAAAGAAAGCATGAGAACTTGTTATCTATCATCTAATTTTGATTTTATATATTTCAAAGTGTTTTCATTCAAGCTACTTATTTTAGCAGAAGAACATTTGAAATTTATAACAATGTGGAAAATGTAATTCTTTTTCTGACTTAGATTTTTTATCTGAATTTGGTTTCAGAGAAAATATATAGAAATAGATTTGCTAGTCAAATGCTGGCTTGTCCAAAAAGACTTGCTTTCAAAAGATGAATGTTGTGAGGACTTTTGCCCAAGACCACCACCTTCTTTAGTGCACAAAATCCCACTTTGGCCTCAAAAATTCAATCATAAAATAATATTTTTTTCCTGATCTCATTCTCACTTAATGGGAACACTATCTTGTCCCTTTAGTAATATAAAAGGAAGCAAATTCTCTATGTGGGTAACCCCAGACTCTGACTTAATCATAGTTGGAAGGGATGGCTCTCAGAACTTGGATTCAAGCCGAGCAGACACAGAGAGGGGAATTTATTACCTTCACAAGGAGAATCTAAATATAGCCCCTATGTCTCATCATCCAACACCACCATGATTGCTGTACAGCATGTATGTGAAAAGGTCTGTATTTATAGGACATCCACACTGCCACACAACTGAAAATTTGTCTATGTCCAACCCAGAGTCCCCTGCCTGTACCCTGCAGGAAAACATACAAATAGGGAGAAAGTCAGTTCTCGTATTTCCTGCCTTCTTAGGGGGAAAATATAGAACATGATGAATTTTATGATATCTTTTCTGAATGTAGGTTTTTTTTCTTTTTTTTTTAATCACATCCTGGGCATTTTAGCTTGTGCTCCTCAATTCATTGTGTGTGTGTGTGTGTGTGTGTGTGTGTGTGTTATTGTGATGTTAGGTTAGATTACAAATCAACAACTTTGTAAAACTTTTTGTATCAAATCATAGACACATATAACATCTGAGTTGGTAGGAGGCAAAGGCATAGATCTGGGCGTTATTAAGATTGTAGGGACATACTCAAGACAATACTTTTCAAAAAGTCCATGCTTGCCTTTACAGTGAGTAGCTTCTCAAATTCGTAATTTTAAAATAAAATATTTGTTTCTATAAAAGCCTACCAGATGGAATCCAAAAGTCAGTTTTATTATTATACTTTCTCATCTATAATTGCAAGTAATATATTTTCTGCAGTCTGATGTGAGCTTGCTATTTTATGCTATTTGAGACAGAATAGATTTCAGCTTGCTCTTTCATTGCAGTATTGTTAATTCTTTCATGTCATCATTGGATAAGTATCTTTTTTGATGGTTTGGAATATATACACATAAGCACACTGAATGAAACTATGGGACTGATCTTCCTTCATTTCTTTTATATTTTCATTAATAGCTATAAATTTTAAGAATCCCATAAATTCTCTAATTGGTTAATTAAGACAAGTTAGTTGAAAAAATTGCTAACAGTTAAAAAATCTATTTCTGACACCACAGTTATTAATATATGGTAGAGACTTATTCATCATTTTTAAAAATTTATAATTACTATAATTGTTTAGATGATATAGAATACTGAATATAAATTAAGCACAAATGACCTGTTTTATCACTGACAAAATGTTTATATGCATGCAGTAACTATAAATACTAATATAGAATTTTTTAAAACATTATAGTAATTTTTTTTGAATGTCCTTTTATATGTACTCAATTTAAATAAGGCTAAAGTGGTTTATTTTACTTGCTTCAATATTAAGCTTGAAACTTGTCAAAGAAATGATTGAAAATTTTATCTGTGCTATATGATGATGCCTCAAAAATATTTAACCTGTTAATTTTTACCATCCTTTCTATAAGTATGTAGTTTGAAGTATTTATGTTTATTGTTTAATTTTTAATTATTAGGGTAGCTTTTACAAAGTTGCACTTAATGCGATAAGTGATTCATAAACATTTCCGTATTTGGTTTTGCTTTATAACTACTACTTTAGCTATAACTGTGTAGAATAACATAAATATCTTAAAAATATATTACACAGGGAATATATCTCTCTGTCCAAAGGAACTCAAAGGGAATTATTGAATAAAAAAGATCTGCAACTCCAGAGCTTTCCCTAATTAAAGAATCAAAGTAAACAGAGTGACTTAACTAAAGTTTGGAGAGACAGATTCCATCAGAAATCTTGTGTTACATGTTTGCTTTCTTTGTCCTAGACAACACCGCCTCAATACTAACCAGAAGAAATGGATTCAGGAGACAAGAGCAATCAGTTTACTATCTGCCGGTTTTCATTGTGGACAGTGGATCCCCTTCACTTAGCAGCACCAACACCCTCACTATCCGTGTCTGTGACTGTGATGCCGACGGCATAGCCCAGACCTGCAATGCAGAGGCCTATGTCTTACCTGCTGGCCTCAGTACGGGAGCCCTGATAGCAATACTCGCCTGTGTCTTGACATTATTGGGTAGGTAATATTTCCAGGGCTTGCTCTGTAAGAGCAGTCAAAACAATAACAATGTATTACAATTTTCCTATTTCCTTCTCTATTTATTTGTAGTACCTTTTGGAGAAAGTGTAAATATTCCACTGGGTGGTGTTTTGCTCACTAAGTAACACAATTGTTGGCCATACTTTCCAGTGGTATATTTAAAGTATAAATCAGAAAAAAATATATATATATCAATTTCATTTCCAAAATAGCACTGCAGATAAATATTATAGGTTGTGCTTAAAATCTATATTTTTCAATTTTTTAAAATTTAACTTATCCCAGGTCTTAGCTTTAGAATACTCTACAGAGGAGATGCAGTAGACTAGAGAAAACATTTTCCATATTTTTTTGATAATGTGCTTACTTTAGAAAATTATGGCTTTATATTCTACCTTTTTGAGAAAATACTTATGGTGGCTTAAATTATTTGCACATTTTAAAAGATTGCAATTTCATCAATGCAAATGTTATAATTCCCTAAACATATTTAATTGTACTTTCAATGATTAATTTATTATTTGGTTAAATTATATTTATATCTCATATTAGAATTGCAGTTTTGTAAGAGATTATACAGCATATCCTTTTTAAAAGTGGGAGACATCCAACGAGGACATTGGGTAATGGGTTTATTCCTAAAGCAACATTTTTTTTTCACAGTGTAACTTCCTCTAACAAGGACAACAAGTTCTTAATATTTCACCTGAGACTATACTGTGTGTTTTCTTGGAATCTAATAGAATTGCTAAACCCATTTATAGCATATTTTCTTTTATAACAGCAGCACTTACAATGGCTATTAGCATTTTATAATGTTTAAAAACTAGATTGGTGGAGTTAGGTAAATCCAGGTTTTATTTCTGCCACCAACACACATTAGTTCTGCATGAGGGGAATGTTAATTCCTCAATAGATACCTTCTTACCCTAAAAGGGGAAAATAACAGAACTAGCCTCATATGTTTGTTGTGGTAATTAAATGAGATAATTCATGTAAACAGCAGTGCCTACTTTTGTGTAAAGAAATAATTCATGTAATTCATGTAAAGAAGAGTACCTACCATATAGTGAATATTTAATAAATTTTAAGTGTTATTGAAGAAGCAAAAATTCTAAGCTAGGACCTAGTAAGCAATACATTGTAAATAGTCTAATAAAAATGGAAATTATTACCTTCAATAACTTTAGCTAAGCAAATCAATCTAGAAGCAAATAATTAAACTCCTTTTTTCAATAGAACTTCATATAGGTGCAGAAACTTTCAGGAATTCACTAGAAACGGCAAATAATTCTCAGCTGATGCTTGATTAGGGACTAGAATAAAGTTTGAAAAGGGCAGAACCATTGCTAACATTTTATTGGTCTACTGGATTCCAAAACATAATAATAAAGAAGCATTAGTAAACTGCATATTTGTTTTATAGTAGCAGAATAACCTACACAAGAAGATAAAAAAAAATCCCTTCATATTTAAATCCTTATTCATTAGCTTAAAATCACAGTTAGAAAAAATAATGAAGACATAGGTAGATGGTGTGTGCAAGACTATTTAAACTTAACCTGACCAGTTTATTACACACACCTTAGATGATGTTGTATTTTAAAGAGATAAGATAAAATTGTATTACCCAAATTTTCATTATCCTCAATAGTGAATTGACTTTTGCTTTTTTAAAGGGTGTCTGTCTGATGAAGCTTACTTTATTTTTAGTAAATACTTTCACCTGTGACTTGGGGATATCTTGCAACTTAGGTTCCTTGACCATTCTAATTAGTTAAAGAATCATTAACTAGTTCTTTCTGAAAGTAAATTAAACAGAATTTTATTAGATTTCATTCTTGGATATACTATGTAGAGGTGAGTGTGTGCAGGTGAGTGTGTGTGTGTGTGTGTGTGTTTGTGTCTATAATGGTTTGAGAGATTTTGTCAAAATTTAAGTAAGTATGACTACTTTTTCTATTAAATTTGAACTATTAAGTAGAGACCAGATTTGGTATGCCTCTTCCGTGTCTAAAGATTAGCTTGTCATGCCCTGTATTTTATTTATTTTTTAAAAGTTGCTTGCTGCAAATCTCCAAAAACAGAAGTCAACCAGAGCCTATTGCACTGGAATACAGTTTGGAGCCACAGGCATCTGCTTGCAGTCTTCATTTCTATAGTGACTACATAAGAATCAGTATCTTCAAATGCTAGCATTTTAGCTCAAAAGTGTGGTCTCTGTGTCTTGTTTCCTAAGTTTTTACAAGCAGATAATCAGGAATTTTTATACTCTTCTGGTTCTGTCACCACCATTATCGGCTCTGGATTTTCACACAATAGGTGCTGAGGACAGCCAGATTGAAGTATTCACAATAGGTGCTGAGGACAGCAAGATTGAAGTATTCACAGGGCGTGCAGGTGGTGTACACAGCCTGACATGGAACTTGATTTCTAGTGCACAAATGACTCATTCTTTACAACCACTTCAAAAAGTAGTGTGAATCTTTTCCCCAGACATTAGATCTCAGGATTGGTAACTCAAACCCTTTCAGACTTCTGAATGAATATTGCTAGAAAATAGGAAGGGGAGGAGGTGGGAATGGAGAAGAAGAACTTGAGAATCAAGTTCAATTAAGGATGAAACACTTGGGCTTTAGACTTAAAAAAAAAAAGTGTACTTCACTACATGCTACATTTGTGTTCCAATGATGTGGACAAGTTAAAGCTACCCGTAACATGACGGGAGGTAATGCACGGAAGGTTCCCAGAAGTTTAATCCTGGAAGGCATCCCAGAAATCAGTTCTAACCCAAACCACTACATCCTACAGAGGGGGAGATTGAGGTACAGTTGGCTCAAGGATTTGCAGGGGTTTATATTAATAGACAAGTTAGTGGCTATGATGGGATAAGATTCTAGGTGTCTTTGTTCACAGTCACTATTTTTGGATTAAACTACAAAGGAAACATAACTTGAAAATATAAAAATTGTTACTTCCATATAGCCCTGAAATTCATGTCATCATGTTACATGTTTGAAATTCATGTTATCTGAAGTTGGATTTGTCAGTCTTCCTTTTTATCTGTATTCTTCTAACTTTATGATGGACTATTTTCGGATTTCTCTCTAATTCTCACTCTTGTTTTTACTACTCTCTCTATTTTATCTACATCTGAATTCTCTGAATGAAACAGATGATTTAAATATTAGAACACGAAGTTTCCTTTATTTACACCAAGTACAGCTTGAATAAGAGACATTATTGCCATATTCAAATTTCATGGTAATCAGTTAGGTGCCTTAATTATTTTTCATGCAGAAAACTTTCATCAATATATGGCAAGATGCTCTAGCATTCCTAAAGCTTGAATAAAAATTATGACCCATCACTGACACCAATACCAATTTAATTATGCATTTTTATCGTAGTTAAATTCATATCTGTTGATATATAGTTATTTTTCCACCAGGCTAAAAGCACTTTTTAAAGAAAAAAATACTATGAATGACTGACACATTAAACTATTACTCTAGTGTATTTTTCAAAAATAAAGAATTTCAACTTTGTTTTAAACTATGATTTCAATATTAAATGTTATACATGTATTTTGAGGATATTATAGCTAGATTCTTTCTGTTCCTCTACACAAAGAAGCTATTTTCTGCACACTAAAGCTGCCACTAAATTTACTATATTAAGTTTAGTTTTTTTCCTAATTGGACTTTGAGGTTCTGTAGCATTCTTTCCAGCTCTTTCCTCTTCTGACACAATTCGGATTAGACTGGCCCAGTTTCATAAACTCAGGTTAAATAAGGTGTTTGTAGAAACTCACTGTTCACTACATGAGACTCAAGCTTTTCCAGTGAGTGTGTATGGGATGGTGAGTTTGACGTTTAGCTGTGATGGGTTTTTTCACTTTTCTTCCCTGATCAAGTGTACCTTTTAGTACCAAGTGCTAAACTATATTTGGCTTCCAGTTACTGTGGCTGCTCATGAGTTTGTTCCACAAGAAAAATACTTTCCTGGTTTTGTAAGTAATAGTGAACATGACTGAAATATATATATATACAATTACTGAGAAAAAAATGGTAGCACTGTGTAAAAAAATAGATCCCCATCATAATCTATAATGATAGAACATATTTGACATAGCAGTGCTGAGATAACAATGGGTAGACTACAGTTGGCTAATTTATGGTAGCACATGAATTCCTCTCTCAAACAAGCATGACACAATAAAAAAATTACATTTCATAAGCTCATACTATGTGCTAGACATTAGCTTAAGTGCTTCACAAACATTACCTAATTCTCATAAGTTCCCTACGCAATTATTATTATACCCACTTTTTATATAAGAAAACTACAACTTAAAGGAAATAGGCACAAAGTTCTGAGGTGAATGAGTGTCAGACTTAGAACCCAAATAAAGGCAAGGCTGCCTTCTGAATGTTCTTTATAGGGTATTTTTCCATATGTGTTTTCCAATATGAACGACCTGTGTGTTTGGAGGAATTGTCTATAGGTCTGTGGGTATTACAGTCTGGCACTGCCAAATTAGAGGCAGTAGTATCTTTGATCTGTTTCACATAGCAGCTTTATGATTTCTTTGGTTAATTCTGTGTTTAATTTATAGTATCTTCCAATTACTTTCAGCCTCAAGAGAATACATGTAGAATTGTGTATGTTAAATTTGAGGTTATATTTCAGTATAACCAAAATAAAATTACACAAATTGTCTTTGTACATAAAACATTTAGAAAAGTTCTAAGTACTTAGGAAAGTTTTTCTCTATCTTAATTGAGACAAAAGTGAAATCTTTCTAACTCTTACATTTAAAGGAAAAAAATTTTGTGATACTTGTTTTGGGAAAGATAAGATCCATTTTAGTTATAGTAAAACTTTTCCCTGCCTTGAAAAATGTAAAGAATTGTCTCCTTTATGAATGATTTCCAAAACTTTGGTTCCTTGTTCTACTGGAGAGCTAGAAATAG